TAATAACAATTTTTTTTCTACTAATACAGTTTAATTAAAGGTTGTGTACTTAGTTACCAAGAAAAGAAAATAAGAGTTAAAATAAAGGTTAAGAGCAATTGAGACATAAAGGAAAAAAAATAGTCACCTTAATTTTAAAAATTAAATTATTACTGTATTTTCCTGTTTCTAGTATATGTAAAATACTGAAATTAGCAAAACACCTTATACTCTTCTTACTCATTATAATATTACAAAAATATAATGTAGATTTTACTATTATTGAATGAGCACTGTGCGATGTCCAAACAGACTGCACTATATTTTATGTATAATCGTTTTCTATTCTTAACCGTTTTAAATTCATTTTAAACCTCTTAAATCAATTTTTTTTATCATTTTCAAAGTTTTTAAATTAAATTCCTTGTTTTATTGTTGTGATTATTTTTTCTTTTCTTTTATGTAAAGCACTTTGAATTATCATTGTGTATGAAATGTGCTATATGAATAAACTTGCCTTGCCTATCCTGTATAGAAATATATATACAATATACAGATATATATACAGAATACAAAAACTGCTGAAATTAGCAAAACAACACCTTACACTCTTCTTACTTATATTACAAAAATATCATGTATTTCATAAATATTTTACAGTAAAATATATTTAATATTTTACTATTATTGAATGAGCACTGTGCGATGTCCAAACAGATTGCACTATATTTTATGTATAATCGTTTTAACCGTTTTAGTGCTATATAAATAAACTTGCCTTGCCTATCCTGTATAGAAATATATATACAATATACAGATATATATACAGAATACAAAAACTGCTGAAATTAGCAAAACAACACCTTACACTCTTCTTACTTATATTTCAAAAATATCATGTATTTCATAAATATTTTACTATCCTGTATAGTATACATAAATTGCTGAAATGAGCAAAACAACACCTTACACTCTTCTTACTCATTATAATATTTCAAAAATATCATGTATTTCATAAATATTTTACTATCCTGTATAGTATACATAAACTGTTGAAATTAGCAAAACAACACCTTACACTCTTCTTACTTCTTGTGTTTCTACAATCTTCTTAATATTTCTACATTATTTTATATACATTATATTATATTATATTATATTAATGCATGTCTACATGTCCATTAAACATTAACTGAAATCCATGATTATTTCTGCATTTCAGAAAGAGACAGATGACAGCTGTGCTGAGCCTCTTCACACAAGGACATCCAAAACGAAAAGAGATCATCCAAAAGAGATGCTTTAGATGTGATTACAGTTTATGTTATCACTAAAAAACGCCTCTCCGCTCAGACCCAATCTGATTTTGTTGAGCCACTTCTAACTATTCCCAGCAAGCAGAGAGAACATGCAGTAACCCGGAGCTTTCTGCCATTGGCGACAGAGATGGAGGCTTGTTTCATATCCATCACTCTAATTGTATTTCATGAATCCTGAAGCTCAAAAACATGGTCTTTTTTTACAGTCTATGGTCCTAATACATTCACCTTACAAAAAAAAAAGTCAAACAGTTTTATTCACCAGCAAAACATCCTCCGTACTTCCATACTTCACTTTAATAGCACCGTAACCATTAAAACTAATCATTGTGATACTCCATATAATAATCAGTTCAAAAGAAGCAGAATCCCTTTTTGTCCTCCAGACAGTGTAATCTGTACTAGACGAGGAGAAGGAGTTTAAAACACTATGCTCATTGTACAGTATGACTAATGGCTTTGTTCAACGACGGCTTTAGTTGTAATGGTGGTGTTTAGAGATGAAGTCTCACATTGTGGCTGGACCCTTCCCTGAAGCCAAAGTGCCTCTGAAAACCCCTGATAAATCGTCTTAGTATTTCAGTGAAAAATCCTTGCTCATTCTTTTAAAGGCGTTGTATTATTGCATTGTGGATCTGCTTCAATTCAACGCAGCTTTTAAAAGCGGTTCATATTGAAGCATGGGGAAGCACAACTTATATTGAACCCAACGGCAAACTCGCAAATAAGCACTGCTGTGAACAGGGTTTGAAATGAACTTTTTCACTCAACAGCCAATTTGGTAACTAACTTTTTAAGTTACCAGCCATTCAGAACTTCTACAGTACAAGCTAAAACAAAAATATCAGAAGAAGACCAGATTATAAGCCAGAAATCATGGCTTAGATTTAAAGTATATTTATTAAACATGATTTGAAAGTTTTCAGTTTTTGACAGTCAGTAATTTGCGGATTGCATTGCATAGCATAAAATGAAATGAAATCTCAGTGACTACACATGAAACAAATAAAATTCGTTGCAACATTTTTTCATAATTTTTGAAAATATTTGAGTTAGAAAGTAGGGCTGTCAAAATGGCTATAAAACTAAATTCGAATTTTGTACTTAAATATTATCAATATTATAATTTCATAATTTCAGTTAGGGGGGAAAAATATTTTCAACAGCCAATTTGGTAACTAACTTTTTAAGTTACCAGCCATTCAGAACTTCTACAGTACAAGCTAAAACAAAAATATCAGAAGAAGACCAGATTATAAGCCAGAAATCATGGCTTAGATTTAAAGTATATTTATTAAACATGATTTGAAAGTTTTCAGTTTTTGACAGTCAGTCATTTGCGGATTGCATTGCATTGCATAAAATTAAATGAAATCTCAGTGACTACATATGAAACAAATAAAACAATACAATTTGTTGCAATGTTTTTTCAGAATTTTTGAAAATATTTGAGTTAGAAAGTAGGGCTGTCAAAATGGCTACAAAACTAAATTCGAATTTTGTACTTAAATATTATCAATATTATAATTTCATAATTTCAGTTAGGGGGGGAATTGTGTTTTCTCAGGCCATTCATTTCAAAATGCGTTCGTAAAGGACACAACTTTTGTTCCAGCAGATGGAGAAGCAGCAGAAATGGAGATAGATAATGATAATTTGTTTTGAAATGAAAAAGCAGACAATACTAACAAAATCTGCTTCCTGTCTGGCATCCCACCAAGTCACCAATTTTGCTTTTGTAGGTGAAGTACACCATTTTTTTTTATGTTTTATTTATTTATTTTTCCCATCTTGGTTTGGGAAATATAAGGGGAAAACAGGGGAAAAAAGTAGACCTCCAATACTCAGGATCTAAAAAAAGTCTAATAAATCATGAGTTGTCCAATTACAAATAATAATACTGTAATGTTCAAAACAAGTATATTGTATATTTAGTTAGCCCCTTTATATTATTGGTACCATGGTATTCATTTACATTGTACTTCAAGGTGAATATAATTGTACAACTATAAAAACATGATATTACTATGATACCATTAAACACAGTATCACAGCACATTTTAATAATCTTTTTGTTAATGACAGTGCAGCAATCAAAGAAAAACTATACCGGATCAAGTCTGAAACCCTTGAGGTAAAAACAAATAATCAGCTTGTACCCAGTAAGGACAAATCAATGTCAGGATTATATCCTACTATATATTTCAGTGCTCACTGCCATTCAAACGCAGTTGGTTCTCAGGCTATGAAGCTTCGGAGCTGAGCAGAAGGCTTCATAACTTATTCAGATGCCTTGCTAACACTGTTTGGCGATGTAGCACATCAGAGAATTATAAGTTGTCACCTGCTATTCAGGGGAAGTTCAGATCTATCTGTAGGCGAGGATTTAATGTGACTCTTATAAAGCCTGAAATAAACCCGTTAAAAAAACCCCTCTATAATTAATTGGAGGTGATGGCAATATTTTTAGAAAAATTTCAGTGTGGATCTGACAAAAACGATTCAAAAACGATTCAACAAAATATGACACCTCCGTTTCAGTATTTAAAAACTTTAAGTGTTATGCTTGAAAACGCTTTAATTTCCTTCAAATAAAAGCCATGTTTGACATTTGTTTTGTAATGCAATGACATTCAGACATTTTTAAAAGAATAGTTCACCCAAAAATGACATTTTGCTGAAGATTTACTCACCCTTAGGCCATCCAAAAAGATTTGGAGAAATTTATCATTACATCAGTTGCTCACCAATGGATCCTCTGTGAGTGAATGGGGTGCCGTCAGAATGAGTCTAAACAGCTGATAAAAACATCACAATAATCCACAAGTAATCCACATGACTCCAGTCCATCGGTTAATGCCTTGTAAAGCAAAAAAATGCATGTTTATAATAAATTCATAATCAAGACATTTTTTACTTCAAACCATGGCTTCTGGTTCCATAATAATGGTCCATAATTCATAGTAACACTTCCTCCAGTGAAAAGTTCATCCCCTGTTGTCTGTCCTCTCACATCAAATCCACCAACATATTTGTTTAGAACTGTTTTGGACTTGTAAACATTGCTTGATCTGTGCGCATTTCTCTCCTAATTCAGACGAGACAACTTCTTCACTGGATAAAGCAATATTATGGATAGAGGACTGGTATTTTAGTTGGAAACAATGACTGAAATTACAAAACATCTTAATAATGGATTTGTCTATTACAAACATGCATCTTAACTGATGGACTGAAGTCATGTGGATTACTTGTGGATTATTGTGATGTTTTTATCAGCTATTTGGACACTCATTCTGACGGCACCCATTCACTACAGAGGATCCATTGGTGAGCAAGTGGTGTAATGCAAAAATTTTTCAAATCTGTTCTGATGAAGAAACAAACTCATCTTGGATAGCCTAAGGGTAAGACAATTTTCCTTTTTGGGCAAACTATTCCTTTAAGCACCCAAATGCATTTGAAGCCACTATTTAGTATAAAATATAATAAATGCAATGATACACAAATAAATATGAATTTTCTCATAGTCTTTCAAAGAAAGTGGCAACATATCTAATGCATTTTAATCAACATGCCCTTGTTATTTTTCAAGGGCATCACAGTTTTGGCGGGAGACGTTCCTTCTTCTGGCATAAAGTGCGTTACTTGCAACAGCCCTGACAGTTAACGACGTTGCCCCCTCAAGCGACTCTAGACTTGCTAATGTCCCTGTGACAAGCCAGCATCCTCCTGGGATCCAACCCAAATGCTGCCTTTGGCACGACCTCTCAACACTTCATCAAGCCGCACCAGGAGCATCAATCTGGATTAAATTTAAGTGACTTCAAGGGTCATAAAATACACTGCATTTGAGGATGCTAGTTTTGCCAAGTCTCATCTAAATGGGATTACAAACCGAATGATATTTGTAATTATTTCTAATAAGTAAAAGTGTTTTTGTGTTTGTGCACTCATTTTCAATGAATGTGAGTGGGCATGTGTATTCATACATGGGGTAGAGATGTCACAGACTGCATAAGCAATTAATTTTGTTAATTGTCTTTTGTCAACAGTGTAAATATGCCTGTTATCATCTGCGAGGAAGTCAAATTGAAAGTCAGATCGTCTGGTTATGTTGCCACTCCAGCATCTCTCCCTGAGCTCAGCAGCACGTGCACAGCAATATTTTATCAGCCCCATCCGTTCACAGGTGTCTGATGTTGTTTCTAAGGAGGTTTCAACACCAGACCTGTATATATTTGAGTGCAGTGCTATGAAAGCTGTTTACTGAACTCGGTTGCACACAAGGTCCCTTGAAAGCGGGGGTCTGGAGTGTGGTTTACGCACTTTGTGATTTATATTTGCAATGAAAACTATCCAGCCTAATTTGAGGAAACAAACCGCTATTGATGATGCATATTTTGTTATATCTGTCACAAAACATTCCAAAGATAAATGGAAAATGCTTACATGTTGACAAAGGAAATTGAATTCTTGTTCGAAATATGGTCAGAAAAAAACATGACTTGATTAAATGGCATAAACTTTTCTGGTGGGAGGAAATATCGTTTTTTCTATTTGAATATATTTAAAAATGTAATTTATTCCTGGGATGCACAGCTGAATTTTAGGCATCATTACTCCAGTCTTCAGTGTCACGTTATCCTTCAGAAATCAATCTAATATGCTGATTTGGTGCAATAAAACTAAATACACATATTCATGATACACTCAACAAAAACAAGTCTTGCTTTTTGCAGTGTTGCTTCTCTGGAAAATGAATCTGGTTTCAAAAATGTATAGATATTTTTACTGGGAAAACAGTAAAATAAATAAAAAAATAAAAAAAGTCAATTAAAAACTCATATAGAAGTACTTTTTTGAAAAGTGACTAAGAAATATACTTATGAAAAGAAGCGATAAAAAATAAAGGCATTATTTGGATGGTTTAAAATTTCTTTAAATTCTGCATTTTGAGTGTTTTTATAATGGCTGTCAGTTGATTCTTAATGTAATGCAATTAATTAGATAAAAAATGTCATAAATCGACACAATTATAGATGCCTTCTGACCAGTACAAAAATCTGTTATTTTAAATTGTAATCATTTTTTCAGTTTTTACTGTATTTTTGATCAAATAAATGCCTCATTGGTGAGCATAAAATACTAATAGCTTTTAATAAACTTTTGAATTGTAGTGAATTTATAAATCTTTGAAATGAGATCAATTTAACTGGGTTAAAATTTACTTGGACTTAATTTAGTAGATTTTATTGTGAATATACATGTATTTTGTCTTCTTGCACTGGCAGATTCTACATTTGTTTTTAACTTTTTATTTAAAATAAGTGAAAAAGTATCTACCAAAGCAATACGACAACAATTGTTCATGTTTAACATGCATTCTCTAAAAACATCTTACTGGTTTAATAAACCTTCAATTTAGTAAACTACTTTTTTTTTTTTAATCTGGAAAATAGACTAAATACTTGCTAAGAATAGGACTATTTGCAATAAAACCGCTTTCAGTGTCAGTGGTGCATTGTGAAAAGAGACCAAGTGTGAAAACCTTCAAAATCACCAGCTTACCGATCTGCCAGTCCCACTGCACCTTCAGAAGTTCCTTGTGCTCCATAATAGCCCTGAAAAACAGAAACACAGCGCAACTCCCATTAGCCACAGGTGAGCTCAGCTCAGCTGGGGAAAAACTAGAACGTCAATAAAAGATAAATAGCGACAGCGCCGAAGTCTCGACAGCATGCTTCATTTTGACAGGTGGGCGATTTTGGCAACAATGGGCAGTGTGACAAATCCAGCCAGCCTGAGCAGAGTGGTCAATCTCCCCTGAAGCCCTCCTGAACAGTCCGAGGGATTCTCGTGACACACAGCCAGTTCTGTATGAGCTTTTCTGACATACTAACAATGACAGGTCATCCCATCCCCCCCACGCACAATTAAAGCCACGCAGGAAACAATCCTCTGGCCCTGTGTGACACCTCTGTAGAGCCATCACAGGACCGTGCTGATGATCTGTTGCCAAGGTTACAAGTCTCATCGGCCGACAGCATCTAGAGGTGCATCAGCGGGAGACCGTTCCTGCAGCCCTGAAGCCTGCAGATGAAACTATTTGATGCAGGCAGAGAGAAAGAGAGAGAATATTCTAGATCCAGTGATGTTGTCACGCTGCTTCCTCCAGAGCCCTTTCTGAAGCAGTCAGACTTTAAGTGGAAGCAGGGTTTGACTGTCATCCATAATTCTAGCCTGCTGTCAGATATGAATGCCTTTCAGCATAATTACACCCAACTGGCATGGATAAACAGTGTCGTTGGCGTTTATGTAAATACGCCACAAATATAGATGTTAAAGCGCATTGAAGCTCCGGCACCGGGGGAATAAAGGTGTTAGATGAGAATGCGACTCCAGCTGCAGCTGCTGAATGTTTGCTGGGCCTCGTTTGCAGATGGATAAAAATGACAGGAGACAAGAACCTTCCAGCTGGCTCACGCTTGGAAGTAGCTGGGATGTGTGGTGCCGGAGATCCAAACGGCTCTGGTGGAAATTATAATTAAACATGCAGGCTGTGTAAACGTCAAACTGTGAGGAGGATCTGAGGGTGACGGCAGGTGTATGGCGTCACAATCCGACTAGAAAAATCATTACGTTTCTATGAAAACCATGTGAAGGTGATCTGCTGTTAGAGCATTAAATAATCATGGTTAAACAGTTGACAGGGAATCCTGAAGAAACTTGGAGAAAAGCGTCTTTATTTAGAGTTCAATGGTGATAGACTATAGCGAGCATTAGATGGCGGCAATTGTCATTTAAATGTAAAAATAGGAGAAATGAGCAAGAACAATTAAATATCCAGTACTAGCTGGTATACAGTATATATCCAGTATTAACTGATAACATTAAATTAAAAACTATATGGGACCAATGTACAATACTATTCAAATGTTTGAAGTCAGTAAGATTTTTTTAAGTTTTTGAGTCTCTTATGCTCACCAAGGCTGCATTTATTTGAGAAAATACAGCAAAAGCATTATTACAATTTAAAATATCTTTTATATTCTGATATATTTTAAAATGTAATTTATTTCTGTGATGGCAAAGCTAAAAAGATGTTCAAAAGAATGACATTTATTTGAAATAGAACTCTTCTAAATGTCTTTACTGTCACTTTTATTCAATTTAATGCATCCTTGATGATTAAAAGTAAAAAAAAAAAAACATTTTGAACAGTATTGTGCATCCCTAATTGACAGTCATTCAAAAGTAGCCATTTATTCTTAAGGGGCAATGTCATTTTATAGAGCAATTTCAATTTAAGTGTAATTGTTCATTTAGCCTCGCTGTTTAGCCCCGCCACCGATTCATGCATTTAGTGTAAATAACGAGAGAGACAAACGCAGGTCTACACAGTAACTAAATGATAAATATGGCTCCGAAGACAACAAGACACTGTGCAGTGCCAAGCTGTGGCAAAACAGTCTTTGCATTGAACTTCCTTCTGATGCCAACATTAGGAAAGAGTGGATGAATTTTATTTTTAATCAAATTCCAGACCGCGTCAGTAAGAACTTGGTCCTTTGTTCACTTCAAAAAACAACATAATTTAGAAGTAATAGGCTATTTTCTGTCCTGTTTTGACCCCCTCATCAGAACGCTCTGTTTGAATAGCCGGATTGTAGACATGGAAGTAAACGACACTGGTATGATTGGCTACATGATGGACGCTGCTGTGATTTAGGTTAAAAACGCATATATATCCAGTACATATCAAACGATCTGTAATAACAGACAAAGCAATAGTGACCATGTGATATAAACAGTTACTCACACTTGTGTATTGCGACATTACTGTCGGATCTGATATAGTAGCTACAAAATAAAAAAAATAATAATCTTGATAACATTATAAGTGGACCTCAGAGAACAGTACTTAATAAAAAAGGCAGTTCATGACCCCTTTAAAAGTTCATAGTAAGAGACTCACAGTTGGATACCACTGAAGAAGGAGCCAAAGAGACCCATCATTCCCAGGAATTCGACCCGGCTCAGGTTTTTTACGATGAACTCCTCACAAACGTTGGAGATGCCGTAGAGCGTCGCCCCCGCAAGTACCAATAAATCCCCTAAGAGCTTATGGTCCCCTGTATAGATCAGACATTAGCGTTATATTAGGTCATACACCAGGTGTGAAAAACTTGTTGCATCTTTCCCAATAAGACTCATGGCTGTATTAGATCAAAAGGGTGTTTCTACTAAATACTGAGCAAAGGGTCTGAATACTTAGGACCATGTGTTATTTCAGTTTTTCTTTTTTAATAAATCTGCATAAATGTCAACAATTCTGTGTTTTTCTGTCAATATGGGGTGCTGTGTGTACATTAATGAGGAAAAAAAATTAACTTAAATGATTTTAGCAAATGGCTGCAATATAACAAAGAGTGAAAAATTTAAGGGGGTCTGAATACTTTCCGTACCCACTGTATATACTAAAAACATAACTGAACTCAAAAACTATTTTTGTTTTTCTTTTAGTTTCTGTAGTTTAAAATGAAAGCAATACATATGTAAGAAATCTCAATTCTCAGGAAACACAACACACATACTAATAAAATGTATACTTGAATGCACTGCAAGTCACTCTGGATAAAAGCATCTGCTAAATGCATAAATGGAAATGTAACATTCACTCAGCGGTAGGTAAACTATTCAGAGACAACTCAAACAACAGCAGAATTGCTGCAAATTAGTGTGATTTTCATTAGACTGCCCCGTGGGGAAAGCTGTGTGTGAAATTGTAAGGACAAGCCCCCACTGTCCATTCATATTTAATAAAGGACTCTGAAACGGAATCAGTCTGCATGATGCAGGATTCTCGGGAGGATTGGGCAATGCTTTACACTGATGTAATGTCTGGAATGTGGCTGCATGTGAAACAAAACACCACCCAGGGGAAACGAGAGAGGGTTATTGTGTGGGTTAATATTCAGGGTGTACCGTAGCATTGTGAAGGGACGTGGACTTACCGAGGCCTTGCTGTCGGCCCACCAGGACGTCGGCGCCCACCATGCAGCCCATGCCCAGGAGACACACGCCCACACCCACAAAGTGCAGCACTTTATACCTGACTAACAGGAAGAACCACGACAGCAGCAACACCACAGGGATCACGAAGCAGTCCAGCAGCTGTGGAATACATTGAAAAACTGTATTCAATAAAAATCCAAAACATGTTTTGACATATCCCATATTCATACAAAAAGCATTTTTAAATTCAAACTCAATTATAGAAGATAGGACGACAGATAAACAGTACGATAGTTGATTGATAGATAGAATGATAGAACGATAGATAGATAGAACGATAGAACGATAGATAGATAGAACGATAGATAGATAGTTGACTCGAAGCAGTCCAGCAGCTGTGGAATACATTGAAAAACTGTATTCAATAAAAATCCAAAACATGTTTTGACATATCCCATATTCATACAAAAAGCATTTTTAAATTCAAACTCAATTATAGAAGATAGGACAACAGATAAACAGTACGATAGTTGATTGATAGATAGAATGATAGAACGATAGATAGTTGACTGATAGATAGATAGATAGATAGAACGACAGAACAATGGATGGATAGATAGGAGATAGACAGATAGACAGATAGATAGATAGATAGATAGATAGATAGATAGATAGATAGATAGATAGATAGATAGATGGATGTTCATACGGAATACTTCATACGAAATATGGAAATTCAATTCAACTCAAGAACTTAAACGGAACCCTTTATTAAATGTATTATTATTTTTCAGTGCTGGTTGATAACCTTCACTAGATTATACAGACCTCCTTGGACGGAAGTGTGGAATCTCTGAGCTCATTTAAATAGCTCTCTGCTGTGATGTTGCAGTGCTCACTGGACTTATTTGAGTTAACTGATCCCATTTTCAGAGTCCAATTTTCAGCTCTAACCTGTTCATATTCCTCTAGTGAGGTATTGAAAAGTTTAGAGAAAATACATTTTTCATAAGGCCTCAATGACTGAAGGACACACAAGAGATAAAACGAGGTCATAAAATTTATACTGCGCCTCCATTCATGCACCAAAATCAGAGACATTTGTTAAAACTCCACAATTTTTGTCTCAGCTGATAAAACGAAAAAAGATAAACGGAGAGAAAGAGGAGAATATATAAGCAGAATTAGTCAAGACATTTGCATTCTGGACCTCAGCCAACACCATTAACATCTATAACAAGTAATCATCTACCTTTAATGGGCAAATGTTTTAAGGAGCGGCTCCATCGCATGGTTTGGCATGACTGCCTATTAATATTGATGAGCCATTGCGTAACCGCATTACTGTCTATATAAAAATGTTAAAATACACTTGTTGTGAACCACAGGGGAAACAGCACGCAAAAGTTTGGGAGGTAGGAAGCATCTCTTCCACAGTGAAGAGCAAAACATGCGCTCCAGTGTGGGATGAGCAGCAACCCGACTAACCTCAGCAAACAAGCTATCATGTTAGACTAGAAACGTGAGAATGTTTCCTGCTCATTTAGAGCTGAAAATGCACTAGTTCTGTTAAAGCCTCTGGCTTGTTTATCAGGTTTTTTTTTTTACCATGTTTCTGTTTGTGACTTCATTTGATTCCTACTGTAATTTAACATACTTTTAGTCTACAATTTACTGATATCCTATTACTCTTACATACTGAAAATGTTTATAATAACTACAAAACCATAATAACTACAGTTATGTTAATACTGTACTTTATGATTCATTTATGTGGGATCTAAGTACTGTAAGAAACATTTCGAATCATATTTAATGATTATTAAATGTTTTAAGGAGCGGCTCCATCGCATGGTTTGGCATGACTGCCTATTAATATTGATGAGCCATTGCGTAACCGCATTACTGTCTATATAAAAATGTTAAAATACACTTGTTGTGAACCACAGGGGAAACAGCACGCAAAAGTTTGGGAGGTAGGAAGCATCTCTTCCACAGTGAAGAGCAAAACATGCGCTCCAGTGTGGGATGAGCAGCAACCCGACTAACCTCAGCAAACAAGCTATCATGTTAGACTAGAAACGTGAGAATGTTTCCTGCTCATTTAGAGCTGAAAATGCACTAGTTCTGTTAAAGCCTCTGGCTTGTTTATCAGGTTTTTTTTTTTTACCATGTTTCTGTTTGTGACTTCATTTGATTCCTACTGTAATTTAACATACTTTTAGTCTACAATTTACTGATATCCTATTACTCTTACATACTGAAAATGTTTATAATAACTACAAAACCATAATAACTACAGTTATGTTAATACTGCACTTTATGATTCATTTATGTGGGATCTAAGTACTGTAAGAAACATTTCGAATCATATTTAATGATTATTTAAACAATTATTTCTCTTTTTTGATAATGTACAGTAGATTGATGGATCGGAGTGACAAGCGACCTAACGAGTGAATCACTGAATCGTTCATCAAATTGAACGCTGATTCACAAAGGAACTGAAAGTGAATCATTCATTCAAACACAGAATCATTCAGTAACGAAACAACACTGCCGTTGACGGAGCAAAAGCAGGCAAAGTAACTGTTAATATAACTTGCTCCATATTATCTTCTTTAACAATTGATTTATAAAACCGTATCATAATAACTTCTCAGAAGGCCAACATGACTGAAATAGTAACACTTTTGAAATAGCAAGTACATACCGTGTCTATATTGTTTTTTTTTTTTTGTTTGTTTTGGGTTTTTTTTTATAAGCGGCAACTGTTGAATAAAATAAATATATTTAATCAAATGCCTGCTCATTTAGAGCTGAAAATGCACTAGTTCTGTTAAAGCCTCTGGCTTGTTTATCAGGTTTTTTTTTTTACCATGTTTCTGTTTGTGACTTCATTTGATTCCTACTGTAATTTAACATACTTTTAGTCTACAATTTACTGATATCCTATTACTCTTACATACTGAAAATGTTTATAATAACTACAAAACCATAATAACTACAGTTATGTTAATACTGTACTTTATGATTCATTTATGTGGGATCTAAGTACTGTAAGAAACATTTCGAATCATATTTAATGATTATTTAAACAATTATTTCTCTTTTTTGATAATGTACAGTAGATTGATGGATCGGAGTGACAAGCGACCTAACGAGTGAATCACTGAATCGTTCATCAAATTGAACGCTGATTCACAAAGGAACTGAAAGTGAATCATTCATTCAAACACAGAATCATTCAGTAACGAAACAACACTGCCGTTGACGGAGCAAAAGCAGACAAAGTAACTGTTAATATAACTTGCTCCATATTATCTTCTTTAACAATTGATTTATAAAACCGTATCATAATAACTTCTCAGAAGGCCAACATGACTGAAATAGTAACACTTTTGAAATAGCAAGTACATACCGTGTCTATATTGTTTTTTTTTTGTTTGTTTGTTTTGGGGGTTTTTTTATAAGCGGCAACTGTTGAATAAAATAAATATATTTAATCAAATGCCTATGGTATTTTGGAGGCAACTATGACTACTGTGGTAATTTTTTGTAATGTTATCTCAAAAACAGCTTCTTTTTTTCTGGCCAACTTTGAGCACTTAATGTTACCTGTCTCCTTGTGATGAATAACTAATGCTGTAGAGTTCCTCACTGGTAAATCGCTTTGGATAAAAGAGTATGTTCAATTAATAAATGCATCTAACACAGAAACATTTTCAAGCAGGAGGTTTCAGTTCATTCGAGTGTGTTATAATGAGTATCGATGCTGGAGTCTAAATCTAAATCTAAATGTTTTGCCAGAGTTCCTCACTTATCTATTGCTCATCTGCACACGGCACTCCGTTCCAAACAAATGTTGCTCATTTTCATCCAATGTTATACATGCAGCTGCAATTTTGATTTATTTTAATAAAACATTGAACCCAGGAGAAGAATAGTTTACTTCTAACCAACAAAATAAAAAATAGTAATATAATCATAAATAGTAACATTTAATCATACTCCCTGACCTGTATAAATTCTGTATTAAGACACTTTCCTACCATCGGTGCAACTGGTGCTATAGAAGCTTGCTTCCTCCATGGAAAAAATAAATAAATAATAATAATAATAATAATAAAGGCAATTGTGAATTTATTTCAAAATTCAGGCTTTTCTCACAATGCTGAGTTTATATCTTGCAAATTCTGAGAAAAAAGTCAGAATTGTGAGAAACATAAACTTTATATTATAAATGTAGAATTCAGAGGGGGAAAAGTCAGAATTGTTAGATAAAAAGTCGCAATAACCTTTTTTATTTTTTTTATCCTGTGGCAGAAACAAAAAAAAAACTGAATTGCAAGACGTAAACTCAAAATTCTTAGAAAAGTTATCAGAATTGCCAGTTGTTCATTGCGACAAAAAAGGCAGAATTGTGAGATATAAACTCAGAATAGTTAGGAAAAAAGTCAGAATTATGAGATAAAAAGCAATTACCTTTTTTATTTATTTCATTCCATGGCAGAAACAAGCTTCAATAGCTTTCTCATCTAACACCACCTGACATTCTAAAACAAAGTGTCGCTCATCTATAGTATTTATATTAAAGTTGGTTGCACACCAATGCAGTAGAAATAATTCGGAACTCCGGTGGCGTGCTTCAGGGTTTCTGTGTTTGATTGACCTGCAGGAGAGTCTGGTTCCACTGTCTGATCAGAGACGCTGCAGTCTCCAGTGGCTCTGAGCAGTATGAACTCTATGACAGTCAGAATCTAATTCTCTTTTGTGCTGGGTAGAAAACACAGAGACAGATAACACACACAGGTCGGGCTGCACAGGCACCAGAGAAGTGCTGAACTGGCGGTACCTGCTGATTGGTCGCAGTGGGTGCGCTCAAAAAATAAAACTCTTAAAACAAATCAGTGCATGTGTGCAGGGACGTCATGCACCTATTATTTTGAGGCAGTTCTGGCTCACTGGATGCCCTAGGCAAGACAAAACATGACCCAACCAACATGGTAGTCCAATATATATGTGTAAGACATGTTGATATATTAGTAATGTTGCCTGCAAGTGGATAAGATTCAAATTCTGAGCTTATATACAGTATTATTGTGTTTAATAAACTAAGCTAAGCTGCAACTTAACTTGACAGCCAGTGATCATGCAGTTTCAATGTATAGATAAGAGCAGCTTTGATACGTATTTCCATAATAATTCTGTTCCAAAAAGGAAATCATATTTGAAATTCACAATGATTACACTGTTTATTTGCATGCATTGTCTGCTTTTGTTTTCCCCCAATTCACTAAAGAAAAAAAAGTTCATTGCAATTCTTGTGTCTGCTTAAACTTGATTGAGTGTGGTTTGTGAATAAGATGCACGTTTGTGCACTGGAATACCACATGAAAAAGCTTAGCAATCGTTTAGTGAATTTGCCTGTATACAGAATATTATAGAAGGACACATAAATATATGATAATAACCCCCATTTTATTTACATGCACTGACTGCTTTTTGTTTGCAAATATGTGTAAATTCCCACAAAAATATGTAAACAAGTATGCAAATTACTTGACTGAAACTTGAACCTGATTAAACTGGATTGTGGGTGGGTTATGAATAAGACTGGAAATATCATGTGCAAAAAGCATCATAGGCTTATTGAAAAAAAAGGTACCTTTACCTACATTTTGAAATACGTACCAATACATATATGTTATTACTGTTGTTCTAGCTGAAATGAACACTGCTGGCAGTAAAATACCAACAACAACTTTATAGCAGAATTTAGACTAAAAAAATACTTTTTTTGCAGTTTCTTGCTAAATACTATGTTATGACCGCAAAACTGTTTTATCATAGTGCATAATTTGTAAACTAATACATTTTGAAGTTTGCATTACATAACCAGCTTCCTATGTATAGCTTTTCTGATGTAGTAAATTTGCTCTATAGCTCACCTGGTACATATTGCACTTGCGATACAGAGCACTCAGAGTCATGTAAATGACCTCAAAGACTTTTAGAAACAATCTAAAATGTCATGTTTGCTTCTGTTAACACTATGGTAAGGTTTAATGTAGGAGATATGTTATTTTTAAACACAATAGAGCATTAATCTTTTAGCACCACTTTGGACAATTCATTTCCAAAATGCTGTGATATGTACAACAACCAGCATAATAAAACATTGCCATACAAAGAAAACTGAATGCACTTTTAGTGCCACTCACTGGACATTTCACAAGTGTTGTGAAACATGAAAGAAGCAATATAATATCATTTTGCAGAAATGTCAAATGTTTGATTTAATAGAGTGACACAGATGATAATAACATTTCAAATTTAAAGCAAATGATTTGTGGAAGGCTCAATTCAATTGGACTGACCAAATTTAGCCATGTAAATGGGATTTCTGACAGCATTTAAAGGGATAGTTCACCCAAAAATGAACATTCTGTCAATAATTACTCACCCTCATGTCGTTCCATCCCTGTAAGATCTTCATTCATCTTTGGAACTCAGAGCTCCCTGACCCTCCATAGAAAGCAAGGTTACTACCACAGTCAAGGCACAGAAACGTATTAAGATCATTGTTAAAATGGTCCATGTAACATCAGTGGTTCAACTGTAATTTTACAAAGCTACGAGAATACTTTTGGTGCGCAAAAAATTCAAAAATAATGATTTTTTTTTGTGCTGCGCCTTGTTTATGAGCAGAGAAAGCACGCACATGCGTTGTGTTACTCTTGATAATGGCGGTAGATGGTAACTCGGGGGAAAAGAATTGTTGAATAAAATTGTTATTTTAGTTTTTTTGTGCACAAAAAGTATTATTATAGCTTCATAAAATTACGGTTGAACCACTGAAGTAACATGGACCATTTTGTAGATGTTCATGGTACCTTTCTGGGCCTTGAACGTGGTAGTTACCTTGCTGTCGGAGGGTCAGAAAGCTCTCGGATTTCATCAAAAAATATCTTACATTTTGTTCCGAAGATGAACGAAGGTCTTATGGATTTGGAATGACATGCATGAGGGTGAGTAATTAATGACAGAATTTTCATTTTTGGATGAACTATCCCTTTAAGTCAAACTTCTTTTTACAAGCAATCATCACGAAAATTAATTATCAAAGATACTGCAAATTGGGGGTTGTACTTTTTTACAAGTTGCAATCAATACCCACAAAAATCTGAGCGGGCATGATGCCTTTGTGGTGTTTGTTTGAGTGTTTTTTGGGGAAGCATCTGTATTCACCTGTCATAATGCTATGGGATTTTATCACCAAAACAATCAATAACAACACCACACACTCTTGTTTTAAGATGTTTACTCTTTTGTGCACATTATAAAATCCTTATTGATCAGAGCTGATTCTCTCAGTTACGCCTGCAGATCTGATAAAAGCCTGTCTGAATGTCCCTTTTAATGACTAATGGTAGGGTAGGCTAGGCTAATATATGACTGGATGCCAGCACGTTCGCTAACAAATAGTTGATGACAATCTTTGCATAAACAAGGGCGCTCGTAATGACCATCGGTGATGAAAAAAAACGATCCTTTTCTCTGCTGGAATCTCTAATAATCATTGAGACCTCCTCTGGCCACTAATCAAACACCATTAGCAGTGACGTGAATAAGGCTCTTTCAGCACTAACAGCGCTGTAATGAAGATTAAATGACAAGCGCAATGTGACGCAAAAAGGCAAGATTTAACTGCCAGTCGGACAGACCCAATAAAAGCCTCTGCGTTTTTGCTTCTTAGAACACTGGCTGTTTCATAATCTGTCTTTTCTTTCCTTCACAAGGCACAAACACAGACTCGTAAACATAGTAATATACCTGAACGCTGGTCAGTGTGGTGTACTGGTAGGCTTTGATGACCAGGTAATTGGCCTCTATATCAATCAATCCCAGAATCATGTACTTCCACCATCTTCTTTTCAGTATGGCCAGCAGATTCTCTTCTCCTGTGGGAAAACATGAAGGTACATGGTGAATTCACTTATTAAGACAGTCTCCTGTGGTATAATCCATTGTACACGATCAATACAAACTTTTATGTACAAACTGGTTGGGAAAACGATTAATCGGTTGAAGTGCTTTGAAGTCAAGCAGGTTGAAGCCAGCTATTAAAATCATCCAAGTTGTGTAATGCAGTTTAAATGAGCAGAACATAATCCTGGATCAACCTTCTTTTGCTGGTCATTTAAATCCTTGACCTCAGATTTTAGGGTTAGATTACATTACAGCAGATGGTACCATATAATAAATCAAAAATTATTCCAAAATAAATAAATCATTTGTATATACACTACCGTTTTTGGTAAGAAATTCTATTATTCAGCAAGGATACATTCAATTAATCAAAAGTGACATTAAAGAGCTTTAGAACATTTAAATATTTTTAAATGACATAATACTCTTTTGAACTTATTCATTAAAGAATCCTGAAACAAATGTATCATACTTTGCACAAAAATATTAAGCAGCACAACTGTTTTCAACAATAAGATATGTTTCACGAGCAGCAAATTAGAATGATTTCCAAAGGATCACGTGACACTGAAGACTGGAGTAATGATGCTGAAAATTCAGCTTTGCATCCCAGGAATAAATGAGCATTTAAAATATTTTAAAATAGAAAATGGTTATTTTAAATTGTAAAACATTTTTACAATATTAGTATTTTTACTGTATTTTTAATCAAATAATTGCAGCCTTGGAGAGCATAAGAGGCTTCTGATGTCGGAGTACAACTTAAAACACTTTCCACAATCCATATTTTGTAAAAGATGGCTTGTAAATTTCCAAGAAACTATAGATTAACCAAAAACAGGTCTACAGACTCGTCTACCGATCCTACAGTAAAGAAATAAAAACAACAGCCAGTTTCTTTCTGCACAGAGAGGTTTTATTAAAATACTGTACCAATCTCTTGACACAGCAAGGCTGCTCTTGAAATAAATAGAAGTTTTCTATAGGATCATAACAGCAGAAGCACTGCAAGTAAAAAAAAAAGCAAGACGAATTGAACTTAAGAACAAAAGTCTTTGCAGACATTCAGTTTCCCCATTATGCATATTATTTCAAATTAAGGAAAGCAGAAACCTGATCACCAACTTTCTCTTGCAGATATAGCCATGATGACACTTTACAACTGTCCTTCTCACTTGTTTTGATTTTCTAATTGAACACAATCTCTCTGCAGTGAACAAACGTATTCTTGACATATTCCAGAAACTTTTAATGGACAATGGATTGGATTTTTTTGTAAGCCCTTATACGTTAATTGATTCATTAGGCCTTTTCAACATGTCAAACTCTCAGGGTGTTATGCTTGCAAAAAGCACTGGCTCCTCTAAGCAGCAGACCAAGAATCAGAAAATAAAGACAATTGCTCTAATCTAATCAAACACAAAACAAATGCTTTGTTCTTGCAGCTTCCACAGTCTTAACTTTAATTAGGAAATGAAAGTTCAGGACAACTGGTAAAGTCAAGAGAACATCTGCAGACCAAAAAAAGAACGATTTCTGAATGAGCCGCTGGTAGAACAGCAAGAATATAAAGCAAAGCGTATGTCAAGTGTTAGCTTTCATCTGTATGCTGTGATTGCAAAAAATAACGGTACTGTACTGTATGTTAAGAAGTGAACAATTTAATTCATTTTTATTGAGATCGTGAGACAGACACTGGTACAAGAAATTATTCTGCAATTAAAGGGAAGAATGGATTGTACAAAGTCATGATCCAAAAATGTAACATCAAAATAGCCATTAATTACTTCTAGAATCAAATACAGGCAGAAAAAACAGTTTACTTGAATATTATTAATAATCAAAGTCAGTAGATCTCAAACAAGCTGTACATGCAAAGTGACCTGAAATATTTCTGATTTGATACTGGGTGCGAAGCGAAAATAAATAAATAAATGAAATGTAAAAAATAAAATATTTTTGTATAAAAAAAAAATTCTATATATTAGAAGACAATGAATGCACTACAATGCATTGTTTTGTGCTGTATGTTAATTTTACTGTATGTTTCATTACTGGCTGATGATCTTTATTCATTCTTTCCTATTCGGTTTCTAAAACCTGTGTAAAACCTCATTAACGGAATTAACAACAGTAATTAAGCTTTTAAGTGTGACTGTTAAAGGGTTTCAAAGAATAAAATGAATGAAAAATGACATGAGATTCTCATAAGAAACGGTGAAATGAGATGTTACACGCAAGGGCAGATCTAACGACAATCAAATCCAGCAGATGTCAAATCCTTTCGCAAACATGTAAAGAGAAAGCATGTCTCCCCAATCAAACATTTTAATATAGATTACAGTAACTGGAGACCTAATAATATTTGCGGATGCTTCTCAGTGGGGTCAGATTTGACAGTCAGGAGAAAAGTCTTTTAAATCATCTTATGATCGAAGCAGCAGATCTAAAATCTCTCAGAAGAGAGAGTAGATATGTGCACAGGTTGTGACCGATATAATGTCATTATTATAAAATATTTGGTAACACTTTAGTTTAGGGACCAATTCTCACTATTAACTAGTTGCATATTAGCATGCTAGTATATTGGCTGTTAATCAGTACTTATAAAGCACTAATTCATGTTTTATTCTGCATGACCATATTTTAGATCTCTTAATCCTACCCCACACCTAAACTTAACAACTACCTTACTAACTATCAATAAGCAACAAATTAGGGGCCCTATCACACACCCGGCGCAATGCGGCACCAAGCGCGACGTAAGTGTTTTTTGCTAGTTTCAGTCTGACGCAGTTGTCATTTTCACATCCTGCGCCACATTGTTTAAATAGCAAATGCATTTGCTCCCATTTGTGCGCACATGGGCGTGCTGGTCTGAAAGCGAGGTGTTCAGGCGCATTGTTGGCGCGTTGCTATTTTGAGGCAACTGAAATAGACTGCGCCATTGACCAACAAAAACCTGGTCTAAAGTCAATGGCGCAGTAGTTTTTTTGTTATTTAAAGAGCACGTTAGTATAGACGGGTCCACAGCGCGCATACACTCTGCTTATTACACACACAGGGATGCACAGCAGCGCACAAACATGCCAAATATTAAAAATTAAAGGATTGCAACGTAAAAGATTATTATTGTGTAGGCTACATAAATATAAAAATGCCTACATGTCATAATGGATTAACAATGGCTTGATGTTACACGCAAGGGCAGATCTAACGACAATCAAATCCAGCAGATGTCAAATCCTTTCGCAAACATGTAAAGAGAAAGCATGTCTCCCCAATCAAACATTTTAATATAGATTACAGTAACTGGAGACCTAATAATATTTGCGGATGCTTCTCAGTGGGGTCAGATTTGACAGTCAGGAGAAAAGTCTTTTAAATCATCTTATGATCGAAGCAGCAGATCTAAAATCTCTCAGAAGAGAGAGTAGATATGTGCACAGGTTGTGACCGATATAATGTCATTATTATAAAATATTTGGTAACACTTTAGTTTAGGGACCAATTCTCACTATTAACTAGTTGCATATTAGCATGCTAGTATATTGGCTGTTAATCAGTACTTATAAAGCACTAATTCATGTTTTATTCTGCATGACCATATTTTAGATCTCTTAATCCTACCCCACACCTAAACTTAACAACTACCTTACTAACTATCAATAAGCAACAAATTAGGGGCCCTATCACACACCCGGCGCAATGCGGCACCAAGCGCGACGTAAGTGTTTTTTGCTAGTTTCAGTCTGACGCAGTTGTCATTTTCACATCCTGCGCCACATTGTTTAAATAGCAAATGCATTTGCTCCCATTTGTGCGCACATGGGCGTGCTGGTCTGAAAGCGAGGTGTTCAGGCGCATTGTTGGCGCGTTGCTATTTTGAGGCAACTGAAATAGACTGCGCCATTGACCAACAAAAACCTGGTCTAAAGTCAATGGCGCAGTAGTTTTTTTGTTATTTAAAGAGCACGTTAGTATAGACGGGTCCACAGCGCGCATACACTCTGCTTATTACACACACAGGGATGCACAGCAGCGCACAAACATGCCAAATATTAAAAATTAAAGGATTGCAACGTAAAAGATTATTATTGTGTAGGCTACATAAATATAAAAATGCCTACATGTCATAATGGATTAACAATGGCTTGCATTGCATGTATCAGAATTAGGCTACCTATTTGCTCGCGCACGAGCAGCTCTGTTTAATCTCTGGAGACACACGTTCTGTCTTTGCGCTTGCAAATTCCGCTATGCAAATAGCAAATCCGCCATGGCACGAGCGCAACTGGCTCTTAAAGGGAACGGGAGATGAGACTCTGATTGGTTTATTGCACGTTATGGCCAAATCACACCCATTACTCATTAAGAGCATAGGGACAATCCTTTTAGACAGAGTCAAAAAAAATCATACAGGTACAGGAAAAAAAGATTTGGAATGACATGTGGGTGATTAAATGATGACAGAATTTTCTTTTTTGAGTACTTGCACTCTCCCTCTCAGCTTTATAAGGATATATGACACTGAACCGTTCTCCATGAGGCATATCATTTTGCTTTTGAATCATGTTATCTATTGCCACCTCCCATTCGTGAGAATGTTAATGGTGTGTGCCATTATATGGCTTTTAACACGATGACCACAGTCAGCAGCTGTGACAGAGATGTCATCATAGTGCTTGTTAAAGGGACTGACTGTGGAGAGTGTGCTGGTCGAACAAGGAAGAGAAAATTACTCTTAAAGACAGGTCAGTCTGAGAGACCATATAATCCCATTCCCGGAGAGTACGGACAAATCCCACTGTGTTACCAGAGTTTCTAAAGATGGATCTCTCAACAGATGACTCTTCCTCACACTGGCAGTAGCGAAGGAGACTTAGAATGATTTCTGAAGGATCATGTGACACTGAAGACTGGAATAATGATGCTGAAAATTCAGCTTTGCATCACAGGAATAAATTACATT